ATAATAATAATAATAATAATAATAATAATAATAATGATAATAATAATAATAATAATAATAATAATAATAATGTTGTGTGGTCGGTAAAATTGACTCTAATATTAACACAACAGGATGCAAGAAACAATTAAAGTTAGTATGAATATTTCCGTCCTTATACCTGATGGAGGAAACAGATTCAATTTCCAAAATATCATGTTTCAAGAAATTTCAAACTGATAGACAATGTCCAAAACAATGATCATGTTTACTATTACACACCATTAGCAAAGGCACTTAGAATTAACCTTGTATTAGTTTTGGTGAAGCAATTACATGCGTACCACAGAAGGCACACCAGTCTGAATGACCTTCCATTGAAAATGAAGAATTGAAGGGTTAAATTTGCTAAAAATTATTTCCCTTATGTGGGTACCACTGCAACGTGTGAAGGCGTGGTGTTTCTACACCAAATCAACTTGTACCCTTCAAAATATCACCATCAGGTATTCTGTTTCGACATGTATTTTCCTCCGCCATGTTGAAAAGGAGAAAGTGGCCAGTGCGCAGGTCTCGATGTTCTCGCGGCGCCAAAAACGAAGAGTACTATCATCTGAGATGTGATGCAATGTAAACCGGTATAGGTACACCAACGTTTCGGAGGCGTACACTGCCTCCATCGTCATAGTCGAAGATATTCTAAGCAAGCCATGAGCAAGAGTCAAGTTCTTCATAAATATCGTTGAAGATTTACTGGAATACACGGCCCATATCTCAGAAGAAAATAGTCTTCAAAACAAACTCTGTCTTCAACTGGTCTGTGGAGTCGGTATAGCGAAGGCTACGTGCTGGATGTTCGGGGTTCGAGTCTCGGAAGTGCAAGATTTTTCTCTTTCCCCTGGTTTGGAGCTGACCACTCACCTCCATACAGTACTGTGGTCAAGAAAGATGGAGCTATATCTCCACTTCTCCATATATCTTAATGGCATAGAGCTTAAATAATTAAACACAGAGACAGTTTTTTACCTTACTGGAAATTTCGTATTAATACATATCTGAAACAGCAGAAGACGTTCAGAAAACAGAGCTATGAAAACCTAATAAAATTGGAAAGGATGTACTCAATATTAAAATATACAAAAAATGTAAAAAAAGATTACCACTCGCTTCCTTTGTGGTTTGTTGCACTTACCTTGTTATAGAAATAAAGAAGCCCAAATCTTCCGTATCGAATTTAAATAAAATATGTTGGAGTGCTTATGGGATACATAAAATAGTTCCACAATGGCCTTATGTAAACCAGGCTGAACACACGCAAGACTAATTTCTTTCTGAATAATATATAAAGATACAGTTCTTACATCACAGAAAACGCATTACGTTGCTAAGACCAACCGCTTATTGCTGCTTAGGAAAACAGTCGCTGTTTATTGTGAGAAGAGTATGAAGCGCACAAATTCTCTCTGTGAGAAGAATTTGGAATTTTAGAATGTTAAAGCAGGCGGTACAAATAGCTTTAAAGGGTTAATTATAGATCAGTATGAATGAAAATCAGAACTGAGCCACAACTTTTATTGGAAGTCGGCCATATATATTTTAAACAAAATATGTTTAACTATTTATGATATGTATGGAGGAGCCCAATTATGGCCTTGTGTAAACCAGGCTTTATTGCAGATTCGTATGGCTAAGAGCTTCAATTATCCTAAAACCCATCTACAGTTTTAAAAAGATCTATTCAGAGGTATAGGCAATGATGTGAGGTCTCTGGCCGACAGACTGACAGCTGTGACCTCAATGTAAGACCCTTTTACTTTGTAAAGAACGCCTCAAAATGAAGACATCTTAATACAATCAAATCAAAAAATTTATCTGAAATAATGAATTGTGAATTTATTGCACTGCCACATTGCAGAGAGATGTAACTATGCTAGTAGTCCTTCCCCGTGTCGGGAAAAATAAATTATAGATTGGCTTTGTGATGGCAATATCAGAAGTAAGAAAATGTAAAGTAGTCTATTCTTAAGGCTGAGTGCAACTTAGTTTAGTTTATATACAAGAAGAGCACTTGATATCTGAATATTATTTACTGATATATATAATAAGTAGAATGGCACTAAATGTATTTGTAATAATTAATTTTTATTTAGTTTGGTACGTGACTTAGAAAGAGTTCAGTGTCCCTGACCTGCGAAACTAATATGGCTGTTAATGAAATGTGATGTAATAAATGCCGTTAGCAACGCAATTTTCCTAGTATTGATAAAGACTGACGGCTAGATATAAATATAATAGGGTCTTAAATTTCTACGTCTGGATTCTGTGTTAGTTGCACTAGAGGGAAGATATTTGCATGCATTTATGTTCCATCCAATGCATGCTACTTGACCCTGGATTTAATCATTTTGATAATATTTTGCGAGGATTGCAAATTATGGAACTCCTTGCCCTATATTATTTTCCAACCTCCTGTTATTTCCTTTCTCTTAGGTCCAAATACAATTTTCCTCAAAGCCCTGTCCCGAAACATATATGTTCCTTCCTTAATGTCAGATACCAAACTTTGTACCAATACGAAAAGTCGCCTATACAAAATTTAATCAAAATTCGTTTATTAGTCTAGAAGTGTAGCCTAACAAATTAACGCATGATCTGCGTCCTGACGTTTTCACGGCCGGCAGGTGGTATGTAATAACATTGGCTTGAGTTTGACCTGAGTCGTTTCTTAAAGACCTCTGAGTTTTCGACAGATATTGCAGTTGCCAACTTCACGTATTTCACTCCAAACACTGCAACTGCGATGTGGAATTTAAAGTTCTTAGGGCGGTGACTATGAAGATTACCGTTTTCTTGGATGTAACGCTCTCTAGTCGCGTAGATAATTAAAAAAGTTTCTGAAGAAACTCATATCTCAATCTTCAGGTTGGAAGAAAGAGGTAACGCGTTTCTCGGAAATGTTAATAAATACCTACCAGACTACACTGCGCCACATCCAAGAAGACAGCAACCTACATAGTCACCGCGATTATAGCTGTAAGTACCTACAACATGGCAGGATTGATGTTTGCCGAAATACTGCGTATAGCCCGAAAATCGACGTTTTCCACACACGCGCACACATCTTTGGTCCTCTGCCCCATTCTCTTTCTCCCAAATGGAGTATTATGTTTCTGGACGTTATCCATCGTCCTGTTTTTATTTGAATCACATAGCGTTTCGGAGACTGGATTCTGTCTCCTTCTTCAGGTCTAACTTGTTCAGTTGGGCCCAATTGACAGAGCTAGTTCCTATCTTGGCTTTTACCAGTCCCTGGAGACAGGGACCAACTCTATCGATTGGGTAAAACGGAGTAAGTTCCACCTCAACACGAAGACAACATCCAATTTCCGAAACGTTGTGCTTTTAAATAAAAACAGGACCATAGATAATGTCCAGAAACACAACAGTGGTATTAATATAACATCATCACAAACTTTAAGATCTGCATATATGGTCTTTTTGTTGGAGAGAAACCTCGCCAGGAAATACGTTAAATGTGCCAAATTTATTTACTTTTCCCCTTTATTTCCTCCATAAGAAAAACACTGATATCACGCCGACATCAAGTGACCTCCTCACATTTTACAGTAACCATAGTAAAGAAAGTTGTTTTGTGCTGGATTAAGGCGTCATAAATTTTTCTAAAGTATTCTGACGATGGTATAAAATACTGTGAATTACTGGGTTTTTGGACTTTGTTTTCTAGTTTCTAGAATACCTGACTATGGACGAAGTTAAAGAAAGCAGTAATTCCGAGTGATAAAATGTTTTTTTAATTGTTTTGAATTCGGTTCGTTGTGTGTTGTAGTAGTGATGTATCCACTGCTGCGGCCCGGGTTCGCTCCGGGTCTGGTCAAGTGAGATTTGTGGTGGACAAAGTGGCACTAGGGAAGGTTTTTTCCGAGTACTTCGGTTTCCCC